GAGTTTGTAGCCAGGTGCGTTGTATGTCAACAACATAAATACCTCTCTTCTTCTCCTCAAGGGCTGTTACAGCCATTGCCAATTCCGAATGCTGTGTGGGAGGAATTGAGCATGGACTTTATCGTGAGGCTACCGAAGTCACAGGGGTACGATGCGATATTGGTGGTTGTGGACCGTTTGAGCAAATACGCTCATTTCCTTCCGCTTAAACATCCTTACACAGCCCGAACAGTAGCGGAAGTTTTCATCCGGGAAGTCGTCAGGTTACATGGGGTACCTCAGTCCATCGTTAGTGATCGGGATCCAATATTTCTTAGCAACTTTTGGAGGGAATTATTCAAAGGACAGGGGACGCAACTCAAAATGAGTACTGCGTATCACCCCGAAACCGATGGGCAGACAGAGGTGGTGAATCGGGTGTTGGAGGGATATCTTCGGTGCTTTTGCTCTGAGCAACCAAAGGGGTGGATGGTCGTTTTACCCTGGGCGGAGTACTGGTATAATACCAGCTTTCAGGGGGCTATAAGGTGCACTCCGTTTGAAGCAGTTTATGGGAGACCACCCCCCTCTCTGCATCGATTTATTCCGGGGGAGATTTTGGTAGAAGCAGTGAGCCAGGAGCTTCAAACTCGTGATGAAGCGTTTAGACAATTGCGTTTTCATTTGGAGAGGGCCCAAGAAATAATGGTGCGACAGGCAAACAAGAGGCGAAGACCAGCAAATGTTGAAGTGGGAGATTGGGTTTTCTTGAAGATAAGACCTCATAGGCAATCTTCAATGCCAACCAGACTTCATTCAAAGTTGGCAGCCAGGTATTTCGGTCCTTTTCAAATAATCCAGAAGGTGGGGGAGGCAGCATACAAGCTTCCAGAGACAGCCAGGATACACCCCGTCTTCCACGTTTCCCAGTTAAAGAAAGCTGTAGGCACGCAAGGGGTGGAGAAGGAGTTGCCGCAGGAGCTACAGGGAGAAGGGCCATCGTTCTGGCCAGTGAACGTGTTGGGAAAGCGGCAGCTACAACAAGGAGATGTGGAAGTGCCACAGTTGCTGATAGAGTGGCAAGTCGGAGGCTCAGACGGTGCAACCTGGGAAGATGAAGTCACGATCAGGGAACAATACCCTGATTTCAACCTTGGGGACAAGGTTGGACTTCAGGAGGCAGGTATTGATAGACCTAAGGGTAAACAGGGGTGGATTGTATATGAAAGGAGAAATAGGAAGGCGAGTTAGAGGGGTTAGTCAGTTAAGGGAGCTGAGGAGGTATTAGTATAAATAGGAGTTGGGTAGTTGGGAGGGGGAGATTATTGTTTTGACAGTTAGTTGGTTAACAGGTTAAGTCCTGTGGAGGAGGGTTAAGCCTCTTGTATCACTGATGCATATACAATTCTTTGTGAATAAGATACGATACTATTCTTTTCTCTTATGTTTTTCCCTATTGCTTGTGTGAGAAGAGTTCCTGATTAGGTTCCCAAATCAGGAACCTAACAGTCTACTACAGGAGGAATACAATTCAGTAGTTTAGGTTTGTTACAAACTATAACAGATGATATTATTGTGTGATATTAAAGGGCCCTGGTTTTAAATTGTAGTGCAGCAGTTAAAGATTGTGAGGGGCATTGGTTGGTAGTTGGATGGAAAAGGATTTATGTTGTACAACAGTTATTTAAAGATTATTCAGAACTAGTGTGAATTTATTGATCCCTCATATATGTGTAGTGTATCAAATCAACCAAGGTTGTAAACTCTAAAGTTTACAATCCTAGATAGATTAACTTGCTATTAATTTTTTTTTATGTAAATTTGGGTAAACTCGTGCTAATAAGTTTGAAATCAAATGTAATTTTTGTCTAACTTTTACCCCCACAAGGACTAATTTACTAGACTCATCATTTGAAGAAATTAATTCCTTTCTGAATTGTTTTCACATTAGGAACTTATGCTTTTATGACTTTATGTATGATTTAGTCATCTATATTGTTTAATCTTATTTAGCTCTAATATATTATTATACGTTATTATTGTGATTTGCTACTTTTCTTTCTTACAAAGTGGAAATATTGAATTATTGTTTTAATATTATTTTTTGTAATAGGTTGGGTAAACTTGTACGGGTTGAATCTACTTGAGTTTGCTAAAGCTCTATGGATTTTTGTAAACTCTCTGGTTTGACAGATTTAGAATCAACTACCTAGCATTGTTTTACCGTTCATTATGTGACTATGGCTTTCAATAGGACATGTAGCTGTTTATGTGCAAAGTTACCATTCCAAGTAGCTAGTGTGGAATTTATCCAATTGAAAGATAAAGTTCAACAAACCTAAAATGGCAATTTGAGGTGAATCATTTGTGTAGTATTAATACTCATTTTTAATTCATTTCTTTTATACAACAGGCACATATGGCACCTAGAAGCTTTTTTGGGGTAGAGGATTTCCTTGATGATGACAATAGCCGACCTTACACATACCAAAAAGGGAAGAAGTCAAAGAATCCAAACAAGCACATATCTTTCAAACAAAGAACGATTGCGTACATGGAGCCGTTTACACTTGATGTGTTTATCTCAAAACGCTTTGTATCAGCTTCACTTACTCACAGGGTGACAAGCAAACAGGTTGCAGTTGCTGGTACCAACTCCAAGGACATAAAAGCTGTTCTTAGGTCTCGGTCAGACATACCAGCATGCATATCCATCGGTAAGATTTTATCTGAAAGAGCAAGAGAAGCTGATGTTTACACTGCTTCCTACACTCCAAGGGAAAGGGACAAGTTTGAAGGGAAAATCAGAGCTGTAGTTCAATCACTCATTGATAATGGGATTGATATCAAGGTTTACCTTGATTGAGTTGAGTAACTCAAGATTTTTGGCTATCAGTTTGATATCAATTGGTGATCACTGGTTTGGTTTTGTGGCTATCAGTTTGAGATGTCAATTGGTGATTACTGGTTTGGTTTTGTGGCTAGTTAGTTACTGCTTTTATGGATAGGAAGGTGGACAAGCATTGTTTATGGTAATGAAACTAAAACAACTCATGTTGCCGTATTTTTAGGCTAGTAATTTGGGAAAATTATACATGAACAAAGAAATATCTTTCAAACTCATGCATGCAATTGGATAACTCCTGGTTTCACTCTAACTATCTTAGAGTTTGTCATCTTCTATTTGTCATTTCCTCTCTTTCACTTATTTAGCTGTGAACTAAATTGGATTCTCACACTATTGTATCAGAATAGAAAAAAATTATTCATCTTATAACATTCATTGACATATTCATTATATGTTCTTTAGGGTGAGAATTTAATGAACTTATAAATATAGAGATTCAAATAAAATATTTCTGTTTTTTGAAATTAACTAAAAAAGTAGAGAAAGGTAATGACAAAGAGAATATAAATAATATGATAAAACAATTGAATATTTATTATATATTTCAAAATTTAAGTTGTCAATTATGTATTTAGTAATATTCTAAAGATTTTTATTAAATATTTTTTAATTACTAAATCAATATCTATATAAAATAACTTCTAATAAACTCATTTGAGTAAAATTACACTTATTTACAATTTTAAAAATATTTGATGGCTCATTTAGGCCTTGTTCTTTTGAGAGGATTTGAAGATAAATTTTTTGTCGTTTATTTGAGTGAATTTGGAGGTAAATGAGAGTGAATTTGGAAATAAATTTTTTTAATTTGTCACGTCAATACAATTCTATACTAATTTTCACAAATTTTATTTCCAAATTCACTCTCATTTACCTCTAAATTCAGTCAAATAAACGACAAAAAAAATTATCTTCAAATCCTCTCAAATCCCCTCCCTCAAATCCACTCAAAAAAACAAGGTCTTGGAGAAAAGATTTGCGAATAAATAATTTTTACTTTAAGGGATTTAAAGATGAAAGTGAGAAGATTTAAATGTAAAATATATGAAGGGTTAAATATGTTTTTAGTCCCTAAACTATTGACCGTTTTTGGTTTTCGTCCCTCTTCCAAGTAAGGTACAATTTAGTCCTCAATCTTTAAAAAACGTTTGTTTTAGTCGAAAAAACGAACGTTTTGAGGACTAAAACGAGGACTAAAAACAAAATTTTGAGGACTAAAACGAACGTTTTTCTAAAGAATGAGGACCAAATTGTACCTTACTTTGGAAGAGGGACGAAAACCAGAAACGGCCAATAGTTTAGGGACTAAAAACATATTTAACCCATATATGAATGATTTAATAGATATAATAGACAAAATTTTTTTAATAAATTAAAATGTATTTTTACAATTTTTCATTATTTTTAAATAAATATAAAATAAAATGTATTTAGTTAAAATCAGTGAAAAATAAAATGTAAATGATTCTTTTTAAAATTTAGAAAATGATTATTGTAATAAATTATTAATGAAATTAATGTGATTTTTTGAAAATAATTTTAATTAAATATTACATTTAATAAAATAAAAATATTATTAAATATTTAAATAAACAAAAAATATTAAATAGTTTTGCTAATGGCCTTTTTACATATATAAAATAAACTTAAAATATTTAAATTGTAATATTCTAATATAGAAACAAATTAACTTATCTGCAAATTCCTTTGACTTAAAATTAAAACATTTTAACTTAAAATAAGTGGTCAACCGAATATAACATTTTCATTTACTTAAATGCGAAAATTGTTATCAGTTAATATTCTTAACTTTGATAATTATTTGTGAGAAAACAGCATAGAGGAACTAAAAATATTTTTATGACTGCACTAAAAATAAAAATATTGTCCTTTGGTGAACAGATAAACATATTAATACCCAAATAAAGAAAACAGTAAAGTATTTTAGGAGGAATAGAAAAGAGAAACAAACAGAGGCTTTGGGTTGGGTCATTGTGGGTGTTTCAATTTCAGGCACATCCCTGTTTTGCGTTTTCGTCTTCATCCCTTTCTTTCGATCTCTCTCTCCAAGGTACTCTCTCTCTCTACTACTACTAAAATACTTGATATCGATTGTAGCTCCTTCGTTGCTTGTGGTGTGGTTTAGATTATTAATTGCTCTTCCAATTTGTTAGTTGAGGAACACATGAACCTTAATTTGATGAATTGCAGTAGAATTTGCAGGTTCTCGTTTCCAATACGTTGATGATTTGCATCTATAGAAAATTGGTTTTTGTTTAGGTTGTTGAGACGAGGAAGAATGTTTTGGCATGAATTGCTTTTAGTCTGTCTTTTAGTATTGATGAGGAAAAGCTGCGTTAGCTACCTGCAGAGCTTTTTTCTTGTGCTAATTTTGAGTTTACTTCTACAATTTTTTTTAGTGAAATTGGGGGTTTCGTTTTTTGAATTGTGTGAGTGGAATTAGGGTTATGTTCGAGTGGAGCGGTGTTTTATGGCTTCTCTTTGTGTGCGTACTTCTTAAGTTTCCATATTGTCATGGTTATTCCTTTGCCCATGTTGTACTGTCAAATTTGCTGCTGGATGTTATGTTATATTATGTCACTGGTTATGCATTTCAGGGATTTCAAGGCATATAATTCTCCTCGGCTTAGTTCCTGGAGTCTTGGTACGTGGCTTTCCTTTTTTCCTCATATACTCTGTAAAGCAACAACTATTTGTGTATATTTTATTCTACTGCATGCTTACATGGTCTATAAATTGTCCTTTTTATTCTTTTGGTGTAGTGTGGGATTGTTCTATGGTCTTATGATTGGCCAAATTATTTTCCTGTCCAATTGGCGGAACTGATTAATACTGTTTTTAAAGGAATGAACTAGAAGACCTTCATTGGTTATTACTATTTGTAAATCTGTCCTTTTGGTTTGAAAAAGTACTTCATAAGTTAAACATATTTTGATTGGTCTTGAAAATTTTTGAATTTTTTCATGTATTAGCTTGAGCTTTTGAAAGAAGTGATTTCTTATATATTGTTGGACCTGATTCTACATAAAGTTTCCATGTAACAAAGTTTTATTGCAAGCATTAGTAAACTTGTTAAATTTTTCTTTTTCATAGCTTCAATTCCGGCAGCTTTACATATTAATGCTGGTTATAAAGGTCATGCTTATGCTTATACTCAACAACAGTCGTGGACATGGTCTTAGCCCTTATGCATCTATCTTTGCTTATAAAAGTTTCATGGGTAGTGCCCTTCTGGGTTTAAAAGCATTTCTTCCTCTACAGTTTTTCTCATGACTAGGATTGAACTATTTGCCTGACTAGTATGTTCTCTTTTGTTTTAAGAGGCAACCATCATCCTTCTTTGGTATTAATTATTACTGTTTGTAGATCTTCTCATCTTAGTTCGAGAAGATCCTTAAAATCTGATCTTAATATTCATACCTATCAATCAAACATGATTGCACCACTATAGTGGTGAAGTGGTTGTTATATTGTGGCCTCTACCAGTTTTGTTTTGTATATTGTTATTTTTATTGTAACCAGAGCTGCGGTCATGAAGCTATTGGCAATTTGGTATCCTTGAGAACTGTGGCCATATTGGATGCTATCTTCACAGGGAAAATCTTGTTTTTACACATGATGCTGTGTAAGGATGAACCTTTTCCTGGGTTTTGTAGCAATTTCTATTTTTGGATAGAAAACCCCGATTTCTGATTGGAGGATGAATGCAATTTTTATTTCAACAAAACAGCCAAGTGTCTAAATCTCATTTTTGGTGATCCCACATCAGTCTGGCTTCGTTTCTATTTAACCACTGCACTCTTGCAGAATTTTTGGAAAGTTTGTGCTCCTTACATCATTGCAGTCAAATTTGTGATATTCCTCATATGATTACTCAATTTCACAAGTTTTTATCTAAGCTGCATACCTGATTTCCCTAAACAACTAATTCTAGTAGGGTTGCATGATCTTAAGTGTTGAATCCGTGGTATTGGATGATCCCTTTGTGGAACTCACAAGGATATCTTTAGAAGTGATCCATCTGCAAACAACCCTTGGAACTTTATTTCCGTCTTCATTGGGACACTCAGCTCTGTTACCTGTAGATCTTTTCAATTTCATGGTGGAAATCAAGTTAACAAGGCTGCAAAGGTTGAGAAGATAGCAACAGCCTTGGTTGAGGTTGGAGTGGGTTTAGAATAGGAAGGAGAAAGTGTGTGATATGGACTTGGTTATATGGGATGCTTAAATCCTGCATCAAGTAGGATGAGATTTTTGGTGTAGTTAAGTGGTTTGGTTCTGTCCCCTTGACATGTTGCTTTCAAGGGTAAGTTTCCCAAGTGCTTGTCAATTGGTATCAAAGCTGGTTGCTAGTGAAATGGAAAGCGCTAGCTACAAAGGGATGGGACAGAAAGGCTGAGTGATGGGTCATGGAGTGGCAGCCACCGGGATATCAACTCTAGGGACAAAGCTACGGTATAGATTTTGGTACTGTGGGCAACCTAAGTTGCACATTGAGTAGCATGGGATTTTTGGTAGAGTACTCAAGTGATTTGGTTCTATTGTCTTAATAGCTAGTCCTTAAAGGGAGGGTTCTCCAAGTGCTTATCAGGTGTTCCTCTGAACATGCTTGGAATTTAGTGCCAAAAATGACTAGAAGGATGGAGTTGAAAGGAGGGTACTAGCCAAGTCTAGGTGACTCTTAAAAAAGTTGCTTTTCTTAATTTTTAACATAAAAGTTTAATTCATATTATATTTCTTTAAAATAATTATATATATATATATATTATTACTACTTTACTAGTGTAATTTTAATTTTGTATTTTTTTTTATTTATGAATAATTTTTATTTTAGAAATTTTAAAGGTTATTTATCTTATATGTGTGTGTATGCACATTTTTCAAATGTAATTTTATTTTATTTGTTTGTTAGAATATTTATCCTATTTATCATCATTATATTATGTCTAAATTTACCGTATTTATCATCATTATATTGTGTCTAGGGTTACCCTATTTATCATGATTATATTGTGTCTAGGGTTACCTTTATCATGTACTCTTGTATCAATTTATTCTTATAAATAGAAGATCATGAGAGGGATCGATTAAGCCCTCAAGAATTA